TATCTCAGTGGGCTAGCACTATAAAACCAGCTTCAGTCCGGGCTAGTACAAGCAGCCGCACATACACATACACACGCATGCAGGTCGTCATATGAGCGAAATATTCGCTAAATATACGTTAAACCCAATTTCACCTAACCTCACCATACCACACTGTTTGATGAAGGCATGAACTATAGTGAGTGAGTGAGTGAGTGAATTTAGTTTTGCATCGCTTTAAGCAATATTCAAGCAATATCAGGATTAGGGACACCAGAAAAGGGCTTCACACATTGTACCCATATGGGGAATCGAACCCTCATCTTCAGTGTGATGAGCGAATGCCTTAACCACTAGACTACCGCACAGCCCCACATGTTTCACAAAATTAGACTAATAATCTTTTAAGATTTGATTTTCATTCACTTCATGAAAATGTTTCAGTTTACATGTAGTCATTTATATATTTGGTCTTTTCGTTCAGAAACTCTGAATGTGCTTGAACACACAACTTGATGTTCCAAGTTTGACAAGACTCAGTTTGCCCATCACAGCTTGCGCAAGTAGTTATCTCCCTTAGATCATGCTTGTCTTTGCTTCACCAATGCTAACAAGTTTATGGCTGGTTAGTTCTTCTCTACCGTCCCACTCAGCAATATTCCAGCTATCTGGGGGCGGTCTGTAAATAATGGAGACTGAACCAGACAATCCAGTGATCAACAGCATGAACATAGATCTACATACCTCAGATACAATGACATGTGTCAACCAAGTCAGCGAGCCTGACCACCCGAAAGTAAGCGTTACTAATTGCAAAGACATATGTTTCCAAAGTGAAGCTGATCATTAACTCACAAAAATTTGTTTTGATTCTGAGAATGTTTGACCGTTTTATTGTAATTTTAGTTTCCCTCAAATTAGAAATTGACCAGACAAGATAAGTTTATCAAGTGTGATTGTTTTGGTCAAGCAAAATATTTTTAGATTAATATCTCTCAGAAAAAAATAGTTTAGGCATACATGTTACTTATTTAACAATTATTTAAAGATTTTTTTATCTTATGTCAAGTTTTCATATAACATCTTTAAAAATATATAAAATCTTTTGCAAGAATCACAGGTAAAAAAATAGTTTGTTTGTGGTTTAACGCTGCCCTCAGCAATATTGATGTGGAATGTGAAAATATTGATGATACACGCGTGTTGCAAAATCTGTAATCATCAAAATTTACACAGCAATAGCCATGTTTCTTTTGAAAAGAATCTTGATGATGTAACATGAGTTCATTGGATGGACATGTTGCTCCAGTCACTGAAGGGGCGATTGGGGAGCCCAGCGGGTTACAGCGGTCAGTCCTCACGCTGAATACCACGGTTCAATTCCCCCATGGGTTCAATGGACTCACTCACTCACTCACTCACTCACTCACTCACTCCTCACTCACTCACTCACTCACTCACTCACTCACTCACTCACTCACTCACTCACTCACTCACTCACTCACTCACTCACTCACTCACTCACTCCTCACTCACTCACTCACTCACTCACTCACTCACTCACTCACTCACTCCTCACTCACTCACTCACTCACTCACTCCTCCTCACTCACTCACCTCCACTCACTCACTCCCACTCACTCACTCTCCTCCTCCTCCTCACTCACTCACTCACTCACTCACTCACTCACTCACTCACTCACTCACTCACTCACTCACTCACTCACTCACTCACTCACTCACTGAGTGGGGGATTTACACTGCTTTTAGCAATGTTCCAGCAGGAAACACCAGACCAGAAATGTGCTTCACACATTGTACCCAAGTGGGAAATCAACCTGGGTCTCCGGCATGACGAGTGAAAACTTTAGCCACCAGGCTGCTCCCCACTCCCTTGGGATAAAGGACAATCTTTTTGAAACATCTATTTTTGTTGAACATACAGATTTTTTCTGGGTTACATCTTCTTTTTATTCTTGAGTACAACGTTTCAGGGCTTGTTCTGGACCCCATCATCAGGTAAAACTGAACAGTAACTGTTAACTCTGCCCGTGACGTCACAATGCTTATGACGTCACAATCCTATGATGACACAATACATGTCGTATTGACGCAATACATTGACTTCCACATGTATTGCGTCGTCATAGCATTGTGCCGTCATAAGCATTGTCATAAGCATCAGTTTTACCTGATGATGGGACCAGAACAAGCCCTGAAACGTTGTACACAAGAATACAAGAAGATGTAACCCAGAAAAAATCTCTATGTTCATCAAATAGCATCTTCTAAAATGCTAATCAAGCATCTATTTTTGTTGTTTCTTTAAATGAACCAGTTGTAGATTTTATTGACAGCAGTGATAAAATCATGTCTCTTTGTTACATTGTGAAACATTTAGACTGAATATTTTCTAATTTCATTTGTTTCATGTGTTGGTTGTAAACCAGCTTAACATATGGGTCATTTTCAAAATTGGTAGGATTTTCAATTCTTTATTACAGTAAAATCAAACTCCTCAAAATTGATTTAATTTTTATTCAAACTTTTATCACAAACATGCAGACTGAAATGTACTAATTGACCTTTTAATTTATACATCAGTAATTAAAAGGGTGGGGGACTGTCCTGACTGCTACCACTTCTTAGTCAGAATATGGATTTTGAAATATAATTCATAAAAATCTTTAAAAGATGGCAGACACAGCTTTTACACAGACTTAATCAAACTTGAAGGTAAAAACTATCATCATGAATCTTGAAAGTGTTATTTTGTATCTTTCATTTATTTACCACAAAATGATAGCATTTTTCTAAAACATTATTATGTATATAGCTTTCGACAGGTGGAATTGTCTGGAATAAACATCAGCTACTAAGCCCAGAACATCTTTAGATGACACCAACATAAAGAGGAGTGTTTCATGTATTATCATGAATTAATTAGAGCTGTCAATTAACACCAGTAATGGTTAGGACAATAGTGGTAACGGTTTGGACAGGAATGGTAACGGGCTGGACATAAACCTTGAACAATTTAATTCAACATAGAAACAGGTAACATGAAAGGAAAAAAATGATATCATTTACTTGAACTGCTAACCCTATTTTGGACAGACAGTGAAATGTGTAATAGAAATTGTAACTCGTAACTAATATGACATGTTTTCTTCCATGCTGTGGTAACGGTTTGGACATTTGTTATATCAATATAAAACTTGTGAATGAATTTAGGCTTTTGAATAAAAACAAACTGTAGCTTCTAAAGAATACAAAAAACATACCTGTCTAGATTGAAAATCACTTATAATCTAAAGAAGAGTGCAATTGGGGAACAAAAATTGAATGAACAGTACCGGTTGTGACATTATTGGTAACGGTCAGGACATCAGTGTAACAAACAAATCTTATCCCTCTAAAAATTTGTAAAAGATTAAATTCTGAAAGGTACTGCAACAACTATGATGCTGTACACATGATGCTACACAGGCCACTGCATAGATATCATTTTGCTGTTGATATTATGGTGCAATATCAGTCTCCACGAAATATACTTCTTTCATTCCCTTGGATACCTTTAGCTTTTGTTAATAGTGAGATGGTAACACATATTTATCAATTACAAAGGCCAACATATTAGCACCTATCAATATTCTAAGTAAAAGGTAGTCTTACATATCTCACAAAGTCAAAACAGACTACACCCAAAAAATCTTTAAAGGTTGGAATACAATAAAGTTGTTTACCGTTACTACATTTTGTCCTAACCGTTACCTTTAATTCATAAAGACTATACATCTTTTACAAAATAGAAACTTAATGTGATAACTTCGTTTTGGTTTTTATTATTAAAAGCAGATAGATAAGTAAATAGAAATTTATTATCACACCATAGAACATATTCTTCAAAATTGAAATTTATTAAAGAAATGTCCCGACCATTACTATTATTTGTCCAAACCATTACTAGAGACTGTGTTTTTATGCTACTACATCAAAACTCCTTTGAACAGTACAAGTCCATGCTTAAACTATCTTAACTCTTAAAGAAATTATAAATTTGTTCTACTTCAAATATTAATGAACAACTTTTTGAAATACAAATCATTTTGTCCTGCCTGTTACAAGGACTGTCCAAACCGTTTCTTTGCAGAATGGTAACAGTTTGGACAGTAAGGGTCAAAACTCTTTGTAAGTAAATCTTAAATAAAAAAATGAATGATCCCTAAAAAGTTTCAAAGGACATGCCTTCCACCTCTTCCATTTCTGGGCACAATATCCATTGAAATTTGAAAAAAAAAGAGATACATATTTGACACAAAATACATTGGTAATTGTCTGGACAATTAAGGTTGACACATAACATTTACACTTATTTGACGGTATCAATTTTCTTCAAAGTGTATTGAATCTCTTTACTTCATCTGCTCATCCACAGGGGCTAGCTCAAACAGACACAGGAAGTAGTATTACAATCCAGCTCCAGGGAGATGTTATTGCAGCAATTTCATACACTGGTAACGGTCAGGACACAGAATCACAGGACAAGCATGTTACAATTTGTAGAAGAAAACTTTTTAAGTTAAAAATAAATAAATGCAGTCTGAGTATGCTTGATCAATCCTTATTGGCATAATATGAATTAATTTGTTTATTTGCATTTATATTTACATTATTTGTGAACATTGATATTAGGACCGTCACCTCCTGGCGGAGCAAATCCGCCAATTTTGACCCCAAAATGTGGTTAAGAATAAATTTCAAAAAGACAAGACTAATGATACACCACATTTACTGACTAGTAAACATCTAAATATGTTTTCTAGAACATAAAAATCCTTTTAAACTCACATTTTAAAAATTTGGAACGGACAGAAAATCCTACCAATTTTGAAAATGACCCATATATATGTACGGCGATAGCTTACAGCCTTAGTTTTCTATGTTTATAGTTTAAGTAAAACCAAATTTGATAAAATTACTGCATTGTCACATTTTTCTGTGGATATCTTTCCTTTTAGGCCAAAGATCAGCTGAAATGTCACATGACTCGTACAACAGAAGCTGTTGAGAAGATTGTCATGGAAACATTACATCTGAATAAGCATGTTCAAGAGGAGATAACTGGGCCAAGGTAGGACATTACAAACCTCTAAAAATATTTGGAGAAACCAGAATTGTTTCATGCTGATTAAGCCTTCTTTCAACAACCTTTGCACATGACTGGCTGTGTAAAACACAGGGGATCATGTTGTCTGGTGTTGGCAGTAGATTACATTGTGCCACACAGGGACAACTGGCCAGTCACCGGCCACTGAGGCATGGACAGCCCGATTAACAACCAATTAACAGGTGTGAAACTTGGTGGCCACACCAGGAGTGGCCACTTGGGGCAGCAATCGCAGTGAAGATATACTGTGGTATACGAATATCGTGATATGGTTCAGATTCTGAAATATACTGAGTCATCCAGATTTAGCCCCCTTTGAATTATCTGCCCTTGATTTCCATAGCAACAAAATGTGCTCTGAAAGTGCCAAGTATGCTTTTATTTCTGTTGGTTTCATGTAACATTTTACAAGTGGAAGCATCTTTATAAGTGGCTCCAAAAGTGCCAAATATTCTACCAAATGCTTTAGTTTTGTGGGTTTGGAGGAATTAAGTGGCCTCAAATGCACCAATTTTGTATTTGCACTTATTAGTAGAGCCTATGGCTCTGAGTAACCATTTCACAATTCTCATTATTTTATTATTTTTGTTTGTTTCATAATGGAACATATGCTATCAATTTCTCATACATTTTGTAGGACTGTACAATGACATTCTAATCAAGGATCTTAGTTATTGGTGGTCACATGAGATTTTAAGCTCAAGTATTTCACCTAAATCATGTTTTTGTTTCATTTTGCAATAGTTCATGTTTATATTGGAGTTGAATCTGAATGAATCACTGACATACAGTAATATTAATTACATACTGCATTGACCAAAAGATGTTAAAATATGGTACTTGTTGGTCCCTGCCTGGCGTTCGGCATTAATTGGTACAACAAGGACTGGTCGGCTCGGAGTCAGTATAATGTATCTGAGTGGGGTATTCATGCTTCACTGCGGCATGGTATCTCAGTGGGCTAGCACTATAAAACCAGCTTCAGTCTGGGCTAGTACAAGCAGCCGCACATACACATACACACGCATGCACGTCGTCATATGAGCGAAATATTCTCAAGGACGACGTTAAACCCAATTTCACCTCACCTCACATACTGCATCGAAGTGCATTCAGTTGAAGCAAACAACACTGACCATGAAAATCATGTTGTACTATTACCTTTATCATTATGTTCGCAAAACTTTGTTGCAATACTTCAATTAAACATTCCCCATTAAGGCTCTGTATCATTTTATTTATTTGTAAACCTTGGCACACAGACATACACAATGGGACGGGGAGCCTGAACGTGTGGTGTAACAGCAACCAAGACTGACTGACTGACTGAGTTTGGTTTTACGCCGCTTTAAGCAATATTCCAGCAACATCACGGCGGGGGACACCAGAAATGGGCTTCACACATTGTGCCCATGTGGGGATTGGAACCCAGGTCTTCGGCGTGACAAGCCAACGCTTTAACCACTAGGCTACCCCCACCCCAGCAACTAAGAAGATGATGTAACATATGTTATATTTGGGATTACACTTTCTTAGTAAAGTACAAATTCTAGTACTTTTTGAGTTGAGCCCCATCCGGGATTCGAACTCACACCCTCAGAGTAAGAAACGTGTAATCCCAAATATAACATATGTTACATTTGACCACTTTCTAAATGGCACTGTGTAATCATAGCTTTCGGCCGTGGGAGCCGTGCCAATTAACACTTATCAGAGGGGTACACAAAGCCCACAGTCTAGACTACCAGTTGTCCGACTTCCTTTTTTGTGGAAGTCGCGGTAGCTGAGTGGGTTAGGCGGCTGACTTTGTGTGTTGGTGATTAGGTGCCTGACTCTGAGGGTGTGAGTTCGAATCCCGGATGGGGCTCAACTCAAAAAGTACTAGAATTTGTACTTTACTAAGAAAGTGTAATCCCAAATATAACGTTACATTTGACTACTTTCTAAATGGCACTGTATAATCATAAGAAGATGATGTCGCACACAGAGAGCTATTATGAACTTATAATGTACGCACTTGGGCAGAAACCTTCCAGTCAATATATCACAATATGTATTGCAATATAAATTACTGCAATACGTATATCGCAATATGAGAATCAGGGCAATATCCAGCCCTACTGTGGTACTCGATTCAAGTCAGTCCCCAAAGTCTGAGTTACTCTTGTTTGCTTGTACAAGATACTTTGCAATATGTCTGGCTAAAAGATGGATAATTGGGTGAGTCAGGACTTTGTGTTGTTAGTGATCCACTCGCCATTGATGTGAAATATATTCATTTCTTTTTGACTCTTTTGGTTGCATTTTTGCTCAAAGTTACCTCTCTGATATTTATGGATAATCAATCGATATTTTAATTATTATCAATATTTACAGTGTATATATTTATTTCCGGTACTGAAAGGCCACAGGCCTGTAGTACAATGCATTTATAAATCAATATTTACACGCACGGATAATATACATGAAGAAGGGAAAATAATCAACTTTAGGTTACATTGTGTTCTGAGATATATTCTGTCCTAAACAACATGGCATAGTAAACAAACATGGACAAGTTTTGAAGTATAGTATGGGTTTTGTTATTCAACAATGCTGAGAATTTATAAAGGTTTGGATGGGCACAATAATATTTCTTAATATACAACTTTCTGATGGAATTATAAGCAGGGCAAATTAAAAGAAAATGATATTCATCTTCTATTTGGTTAAGATCACATAGTTTGCAAGTTCTATTTTCTTTTTGACATTTTTAAATCTTCCACTTTCGATAGATAAATCATGTGAAGAACATCTCAATCTGCTTAACGCTATCCTATACTTTTACGTTTAGACATGAAAGATAAGTTTCGGAGTCAAAAGTACATTTAAACACCTTATAATACAGACATTTACTGGAAAGTGATATCTTTTTTCAAACCATTCTTGCAAGTAGATATCTTTTAATCTTTGTGTTAGTTCTAAAATAAACTTACCCTCAGAATCAACATACTGATCGTTCCATACAAAACCAAACCCTTTCGAGAATAGAAAATGTCTAACAGCAGAAACCCAATTTGTGTGTCCATTTTTATCGAATAGCATCATCATATTGTAACATTTCTTTGGTAGCCTATAAGAAGGCATCTTCAGTAATTTTAACCAGTATTTTATAACTCTGATATTTGTAAATAAGTGCATCGGTATTTACCACATTCTCCATACACCACTGTATTCATCGTATTGGATTTAACACCAAGAAATCTTTTACATGTTTTCAATTGAACTCTTTCAATATCACTGTAATAATTTAAACCCCATATTTAGGCTCCATACAATAGAATTGGTTTAATTTTGGCATCAAATATTTTAAAGTATGAACTTATATTTATGTCACCAAGTACATTTAATTGTTTAAAGATACCTATCATGACCTTTTGTGCTTGCAAACAAGCGTAATTAACATGTGTTGTCCAAGATAAACAATTACTAAAGAACATTCCCAAATATTTGTATGAACTGGTGCATTCTAATTCTTCACCTTTATACAACCATTTCTCATTTTTGATAAGCGTCCCCTTTTTTTAAAACTACTACTTTAGTTTTATTTCTATTTACAGCTAATTTGTACTGGTCACAATAATTCTCAAGTTCTTGTATAAGTCTTTGTAAACCTGCAACAGTGCTTGAGAATAGCACGATATCGTCTGCAAAAAGCAGAAGAAAAATATGTACTAGGTCAGGGTGTAACTGTATTCCATACTCACAATTGTTTTCAATTTGGGTTGCTAATTCATTTATGAAAAATGAGAATAAAAATGGGCTAAGTATACAGCCTTGTCTTACCCGATTTGTAGTTCAAACGAATCTGAGAATTCATTGTTATTCTTAACACAAGCTTTAACATTTTCATACATATTATGAATAATTTTTTTCATTTTAGGACTTAGACCATGGGTATTAAAAATAGACCATAGCTTTTGTCTATCAACTGAATCAAATGCTTTTTCGAAATCAACGAAAAGTGTATAGAGTTTACCACCTTTGATGTTGAGGTATCTCTGTATAATACTTTGCAATATAAACATATTGTCAGTAGTCGTATATCCATGTCTAAAACCTGCCTGAGATTCATTTATTTTATTCAATGTCTCTCCCCAAGCTACTAATCTTCTGTTAATGATAGAATATTTATGATCTGTATCAATAACCAGCCCTACTTTGCATGAATATTCATGAATAATTCTGTTTTCACACCAACCATGACATTCGTTTTTAAGGCATCAGCCCATGTACATCATGAACATATATAATATAAGGATATAGTGCAGGGCTCCAGATAACTTTTGGGGGTGCGAATGTACTTACACATCATATTGCAATTGGAGGTGTACTGAGAATTTTGAAGGAGTACTGACATGTTTTTGTGTGAGCGAGTTGGTGATGTGGTTTGTCTGGACGATTCATCGATCACTATTTCCAACCATGTATTTGTATTTGAAGACCCGTGAGAAAGAACTGAGGGACCGTGTGATGCGCGAAATGTCAGGTCCGACTGGATATAAATAGGAACAGTGTAGTTTTTAGCCAATCGAAAAATAGTAGCGCATATCGTTGCGTGGCAACGCAAGTGATTCCTACTGTCGGGGTTTCCTCATGTGTCAAATCGTGTTTCGAAAAGAAACTTGACAAGTATTTATCCGAAATAGATTTCCATTTGCACGATATGCACGGAAATTAAATGTTAGACGTACAAAGGTATTTATGTGCAAACGCGATACGCTTGAAATCTTATATTATGTTGTACTTAATTGATTTTGAGGCGTACATTACGCCTGTACGCCCCTTATCTGTAGCCCTGTAGTGAAAGTGACAATGATTATGCAATGCGGAGTGACAAGCAATATTTTGCATATTTTGCAACATTTGTAATAAATTCATTATTGTTACTGCATACTGAAGTACTGTCGGAAATAGAAAAAAAA